GTCCGGAGGGAAGGCGCGCCCCGAACTCCCAAGCCCGGCCAGGTGGGCGCGGAGTGCCGCCCCCGAGACCACCTCTCCGGAGCCCGCTCCATCCCCGGTAGCGAATTGTGGGGGTTCTGGGCGGGTGGCGGTGGGAAAACTGGGCCCAGGCCCGAAGTTGGCGCTGAGTCCGGCCCGCGTTCTTGATGCGTAGCCGGGCGCTGTCTGTCCTGCTTTCAGTCCTCCGCTTGCGCTGGGTCGGACCTGCGGGGATCTTGCCGGGTGCGAAGAGGAGGAGGAAGGGGATGATCCGAGCCTGAGTGACCCGGCTCCGGCCTGTGCGCGTAGGGTGGTCCTGGGGTGCCCTGGGCTCCAGCCTGGCGCTGAGAACGCAGGGGTCGGTCTGCCCCTGTGATCTGCAGACCTGGGCGTGCGAGGACCAGGGTGACGGGACCTCCCTGCCAGGCCCTATTCTGTAGAATTCCTGGCTCACGGGAGGCCGGGTGAGGTTGAGGGGACAGGCAGGCTCATCACAGACCAAAGGTGGCCGCTCTGGGAAGGAGGCTGGGGCTGGTCAGTCCTGATTTCCTGGAGAAGTGGAGCCCAGGATAGCGTGGAGAATGAGGGTCGGGCTGGGCTTGGGGCAGAAGTGAAGCTGTGCATGGCCTGTTTGAAGTTTGTGGGGGACATCAGAGGGCGAAGTTGTGGAAGAAGGGGGAGCTGCCCTGGAGCTGGGAGTCTCTAGCTGGGGGACTGGTGGATGGAGTTAAACTGGATGGAGGGCAGCAGTGAACAGGAGAGCCGGCTGATCCGTGACCTAAGAGCATAGAAGAAACCCGCCCAGCAGCCCCAGCAAGGACCGGGAGTTCCTGGGTCCGGGTGAATCCAGCAGTAACTTCGCACCAGGTTCCAGGTACCAGGTTCCTGGTGGTGGATAGGACGGTCCCTGCCCTGGAGGAACTGTCTACCTCCTGGGGGAGACAGGACAGGATGACACCTGCGAGAAGCGGACTGCTGGGACAGGTGGGCCCGGCTGATTGCCAAGCGAGGGGCAGAGCCCGTTGGCTTTCTGACCCGCCGCCCTGTGTGTTCAGTGGTGAGCAGCACCGCTTAAGGGGGAGAGAGACAGACTGAAAAAAAGTTAGAAAAGAGTTGTCAGGACCTCTGCACCTGGGTGTCTGAGCCTAAGTGAAAGCAGCAGAGAAGGGCTCAGCCGCCACGGAATTACGTGAAAGGATGAATTTTGGATGATTTAAGCGATTAAACTTAGGAGTGTTTTATTCTACAACAAAGACTAGTCGAAAGAGGAAAGAGTTCCTAAGATTGAGGTGCTCAATAATAAAAACGTAACGTGTGTGACATGGCCTTGGGACTGGATAGTGAATAGAGGCTGGAAGGAGACTTAGTGGACAGGTACGTGCGAGGCAACTAGAATTGAAGGAACTAGGATTGAAGTCTGGAAGCGTGGGAAATCATGTTTTGATTTAGGGAAAAGTTGATCTAAAAGTTGATAATTATAACCAGTTCCTACACAGTTGCTTCAGCCTCACTCCGAGTAGATGTGATGTTGGCATGTTCCTGGGGGACGGAGACTTTAACCTGTAGAAGGGAGGAGGGGGTGATGGAAGAGTTGCCTCTAAACAGCCGAAAGGCTTCTTTGTGGAAAGCGGTGAGATTTCTTCTGTGTGGCTTCTGATAGCAAAACTAAGACTAGTGGTTTGAAGCACTAAGAGAGAGTCCTCAGGAGAGCTGTCTAAAGATGGGGTCATCGCCGTGAGAGGCACTGAATTCCCTGTCAGGGAGCTTTGTAAGCGGAACGCTCTCAGCTAAGAAACGTGGCTGTCCCCTCTCCCTCTGGGCGCATCTTCAGTTACCTACTGAGTTCTGGTTCTCAAGTCTGTTCTTTTCTTCCCTCTCCCTCCACCGGTGCAGCCGTGTAGCCTTGCGTCGTCTTGCAGCAGGTACAACATGGTAACTATAGCAGCTCATGCCTGCTGTGATTACTGATTGCCAGGTACTGCTTTAAGTGCTTTAGAGATGCCAGCTCACCTAATCCCCAGAAAACCCTTTTAAGGTAGCGATTGTTAAATCCCCTTTTTACAGATTGGGAAAACTAAGGCACATTAGGAGCTCAGCAGCTTGCCTAAGAGCACACAGTGAGCAGTTGGCAGAGCTGGGGTTCCAGCCCAGGCTGTCTGGCTTTAGAGTCATTGTTCTGAACCACGATTCTGTGTTTTACATGTGTTGTTTTATTTAACCGTCACAACAATCCAAATTTACGGATAAGAAAGCAGAGCCGGAGAAGGTGCGAGATTGGCCTAAGATCACTGCCAGACATGGGAGAGCTGGGATTCACACCCAGGACTGCTGGACATGGAGCCCCAGATTCTGCACTTCATCCCCCACAGCCATTTGCTGCCCCTGTCACTGCCACTGCTGTAGTGGCCTCTAACTGGACTCCATGCCCAGCCTTTCTGCTTTACTGTGAATTGGCAAGCTTTTACCCTGGAGTCTGTGGACGGCCTGGAAATAAGTGAGATTTGGTGTGTCTGTGCAGGTCAGTCAGGTTTAAAGCCAAGTCTCCTTAGCTTCTGTTGACGTCTCAGAGCATTTTGTGACCCCAGATAGTGAAGAGGCTGAGTTAACTTTCTGATGCACCGATTTGATCTTGGCACAGTGATGCATCGACTCTCCACTGTCCTTAGGACAGAGTTCAAATCCTTAACCTGGTCATTCAAGGTCCCAGGAAATCAGACTGTCCTACTCCCACCTGCTAGTCTCGCCAGTATGGGAACATTTGCCTGCCTGTCTCTCCTCCACCCTGGCAGCTTCTCAAGGGCAGGTGTTTGCCTTTAGTGGCCAGTGCCTGACAGGTGCTGCACAGTGAGCATGTGTTGTAACCAGCACTGAACCCTAATGGAGCTCAAGCCTTGGCCAGTTGTGTGGCCTGGTAGCTTTGCAGCTCTCCCCCTTTCTGATCCCAGCAGCCTAAGGTTCTCTGATAGTAGGTATGCCGAAATGCAGAGAAAGGCTGCGGAGGCAGGGGCTGGGCTGGGCCTGGAAGGAAGTGAGCAGGTAACATGCAGATCGTTCAGAAGGTTTCAGTATTCTGACCTGGCTCTTCTTGCAGGGCAGCCCCTGTGTGGGGTGAAGCTCCCGTCTCTACTCCTGTCCCCCACCCTGTTGTGGGCCACTGGCTGCAGGATGAACTGTCGCTCGGAGGTGCTGGAGGTGTCGGTGGAGGGGCGGCAGGTGGAGGAGGCCATGCTGGCTGTGCTGCACACGGTGCTCCTGCATCGCAGCACAGGCAAGTTCCACTACAAGAAGGAGGGCACCTACTCCATCGGCACCGTGGGCACCCAGGATGTCGACTGTGACTTCATCGATTTCACCTACGTGCGCGTCTCCTCTGAGGAGCTGGACCGTGCCCTGCGCAAGGTTGTTGGGGAATTCAAGGTAGGGTGTGGCACCGTGCTGTCAGGACTCGAGAGGAGCATCCTTACCCTCTGGGTTGGCTCTGCGTAACTGAGGTGGGAAGGGCCCTGGCTACCCTAGGAGGAGGGGGTAGAGGGAGCCTGGGCAGAATTATTAGACCAGATGCTCCTATTTGCTGCTCAGATGAGAAGAGGGAGAAGCAGCAAGGTCTGATCTGCTCTTTGCCTCACTTTCCTCTTCTGTTCCTTGGCTTCCTTTTTTATTTTATTTTATCATTATTATTTAAAATATATTTTTACTGATTTCAGAGAGGAAGGAGAGGAAAAGAGAGAGAGGAAAACATTAATGATGAGAGAGAATAATTGATTTGCTGCCGCCTGCATGCCCCCCATTGTGGATTGAGCCTGCAACCCAGGCATGTGCCCTCACCAGGAATTGAACCATGACCTGCTGGTTCATGGGGAATGCTCAACCATTGAGCCACACCAGCCAGGCTCCTTGGCTTCCTTCTTTCTAATCAAGGATCACTGGGCTTTATATTCCTCCCTCCTTTTCTTTAAAGATTGTGAGTTGAGGTTGTCATTGAGCGAAGGAAGTGGAAGGATTGTGCTTAATTAGCAGTGGGAATGCATACAGGGTTTACCTGGGGAGTAGATGTTGGAGTGCGTTTTGAAGGATGGGGCTAAAGGGGTGTGGTTGTTGAAGGAGCAAGAAGGCCCTTCGAATAAAGGTGAAAAGTAAGGATTTTGAAATCAGACAATCTGGGTTCATTCACAGGCCGTTCACTGGCCTGTGACTTTTGGCAAAATAACTTCAATCTGAGCCTCATTTTGCCTCAATATTCCTGCCTCCCAGAGTTGTTGAGGGGAGTAAGTGGGATTGTGTATATAAAGTGCCTGGCCCTGAATAAGTGCTTTAAAAACGGCAATTCTGAACAAAGCTGGAGGAGTTGGGCAAGGAGACAGATTTTGTTGTTTTGTCTAAACCACTCAATTTTAGGCAGGCAGTTTGCTGTGTCCCAAATCTGTCTTCTCTGTTTCTCATTCCCTGCCCTCCCTAAAGGATTAATAGAGCTAGGAGAGCATAATTCCCTGGGGCGCAGGAAGCAGATGCTCACAGGATGAGAACTCCTGTCCTAGCCTGTTATCTGCTACCCTTTCTTCCCAGGATGCACTGCGCAACTCAGGTGGTGATGGGCTAGGGCAGATGTCCTTGGAGTTCTACCAGAAGAAGAAGTCTCGCTGGCCTTTCTCAGACGAGTGCATCCCCTGGGAAGTGTGGACAGTCAAGGTGCACGTGGTGGCCCTGGCCACGGAGCAGGAGCGGCAGATCTGCCGGGAGAAGGTGGGCGAGAAGCTCTGTGAGAAGATCATCAACATCGTGGAGGTGATGAACCGGCATGAGTACCTGCCCAAGATGCCCACGCAGTCGGAGGTGGACAACGTGTTTGACACAGGCTTGCGGGACGTGCAGCCCTACCTCTACAAGATCTCCTTCCAAATCACCGACGCCCTGGGCACCTCAGTCACCACCACCATGCGCAGGCTCATCAAAGACACCCTTGCTCTCTAGGCCGTGCTGGGTGCCTTGGGTGCTCCTTGACGGCTTGCAAACCTCGGCCTCTGGGGATTGTACTCTCAGGCCCTTGGGGCTCTGGAACCTGCTCCGGGTCCTTGGTAAGGCTTGGAAGGGCCATCCCCTGGCTTCCTTGATTTGTGGTTGCCAGTCTCTGGCCAGCCTCGTAACCTTCACTGACGGTCAGGTCAGGCCAATACTGTCTGCCACCTCTGGTGGATCCCCCTTCCTCCTCTACTGTATAGAAGGGCCATCACTGTGATGGTGAATAAAGTTGAGAATGTGGGTTTGGGTTGAGCCATCTCTCCCTTGCCTTGTGTTCTGTCCTGAAACATTAACACTTTCTGGTAGACTTGTGAGGACACAGGTGTGTTGAGGGCATTGATCCAAGATGAGGGGAATGGGTGGATAGGATTACAGATAGATTAAAGCTGACTGATGTTGTGTTTTGTTGGGCATTCACATGTTACCCACCAGGGTGTGACCAGGGTCAGTCCCTTGAATGAGGACACAGATCAGGATCTATTGCTTTTATTTAAAAACTAGAGGCCCGGTGGGGTCCCTCAGCCTGGCCTGCGCCCTCTCATAATCCGGGACCCCTTGGGGGCTGTGGGACTGCTGGTTTCAGCCCAATCCCCGCAGGCTAGGCCAAGGGACCCCCACGGGCGCACGAATCTATGCACTGGGCCTCTAGTATGCATATAAGACCCTTGGTTAATCTCTTCCTGCCCTGCCCCTCCCCCTCTTCCCCATTCCTTCTGAGATTCATCAGTCTGTTCCATGTTTCCATGCCTGTGCATTGAGTGTCTGCCCCCCCGATGGTCAGTGCGCATCATAGCTACCCGTTGAATGGTCGATTGGTTGGCTGGTCACAGGCTTTGATTGATTGATTGATTTTAGAGGGAGAGAAACATTGATTTGTTCCAGTTATTTTTGCATTCATTGGTTGATTGTTTCCTGACCGGGGATTGAACTCTCAACCTTGTTGTATCAGGATGATGTTCTAACCAACTGAGCTACCTGGCCAGGAGGCTCTGTTGCTTTTAGATATGACAGTGTTGTTTCTCCTCCCTAAGGAAGTTATACCATCCCTGGCCTGTATATTGTGTGGTCTTGCTTTATGATGGCAGAAACATCAATGATGAGAGAGAATCATTGATTGGCTGCCTCATGCATGCCCCACACCAGGGATCAAGCTGCAACCTGGGCATGTGCCCTGACTGGAAATCAAGCCATGACCTCCTGGTTCATAGGTCGATGCTCAACCACTGAGCCATGCCAGCTGGGTTTCTTTGTCTTCATAGTGCACACAGGCCTAGCGTGCACCAGAGAGTTCATTTGATTTGGGGTTTCTCTGTGGAGAGAGATCGGCCAGCTTGAGACTGGTATCTGGTGACACTTCTTTCAGATTGGGCTGGCCCTGGCTGGTTGTTGGAACGTTACTGTGGCAGCTCACACTCGTTTCAACACAGGCATACTCAAAATCAATGACCTTCATTGTGTGCTTTTTATTGATTTATTCCATATTTTGCAATGCTTTTTGGTTACATCTGGGCCAGTTGTAACAGACTAAATGAACTCTGTGTAGGGAGGGGTGCTAAGGGAGCAATGGTTGGGGTGGGGGAGGGGGCGTGCCCATGGTCCTGGAGCAGGTAGGTAGTAGCCAGGATTGGCAGGAAGCGTGTGCACGTTTCTCTCATTTCAAGCCGTTTTTGGCCATGTGATAGTTCATGACACGTTTTGTGATGTCCTACCCTTGATTTCTGAAGAAACGGAGAACTCAGGGGTCTGGAGATGGGGAAGGCCCATCCCCAGCAAGTCCTTAATGGTGTGTGAGCCCTACTTGGCCTGTAGTCTGGGTGACCTTTTCTCCTAGCTGGCCATCAGCTGATCTCTTCTGAGTTGGATGACACATGTGTTTGCTAGCAGTGACTTTATTGTATTCTTTTTGTTAATGATCCTTTCTTCCATTGATTTTTAGAGTGGAAGGGAGGGAGGGGGAGAGAGAGAAAGAGAGAAACATTGATGTGAGAAAGACACATCAATTGGTTGCCTCCCCCATATGTCCTGACGGGGCCAGGGAATGAACCTGCAACCCAGGTACATGCCCTTGACTGGGAATCAAACCCCCGACCCTTTGGTGTGCGGACTGACGCTCTAACCACTGAGAGCACTGGCTAGTGCAGCAGTGACTTTGTTTTAAAGAGCTCAGGGTTGCTACAGGGTTTCTCAGGAGACCTGGGCAGTAGGGTCTTCCCTCCATTCCAGCTTCCCCAGACTCCTTTTTTGCAGCCAGACCTCTCCACTCTCCCCCGCTGACTTGGCTGTGGGCTACCCAGCTGGCAGCAAACGCCCTTAGGTGGACAGAACAATAACATCTCCATCGTTTGGCATTGTGATTTCCCAGAGGTAGGGCGCTGATTTCTCAAGGTCAGAACCCAAGCTATGGTGACTCAGATCTGCTTTCCCCTTGGTCTGCATCCCTTCTTGTCCTCTGGGGCCTGAACAAAGGAGCAGGGCTAGGCCTTAAAGTCCCCCTAGCCTCCCTCTCCTGTGTGGGACCAGGGAGGCACTGGCCTGCTTGTCCAGCCCCTGGAGGCTCCCAAAGGGGAGGAAGGATAGGCGTCACTCAGGTCCTAGAGGCCTTCATGTACTAGTATCTCCTGTTCCGGTGGCACCTGGGCCATCCAGCGGCACTGAGCAGAGAGCCAGAAATGGGGATGGCCCTTGCTCCGCTTCCTGCGCAGCTGCCCTGCCCCAGCCAGCACCTGGGATGGGTCTGGAAGATCTTTCTCAACTTCCTTTGCCAAGGGGCAGGAGGAGCCTTGGAGACAGGATTCCTGGGTTTTGCTTGTTGGGAGCGTAGGCCAGATTCACATGCGTAGGTGTGGGGGCTCTGAGACAAGATATAACCCCTGGCCTGGAATTCTGGGCCATAGTCCACGCCGGGGGAGCCCTTTGTCTAGGAAGGGCCTGAGCGCTTTGTGCAAGGGGTGGGGGTGTAGGAAGACTGGGATCCGCCCCTTAGGTCCCTCCCAGATACAGTCCTCTGCCTGCAGCCCAGGCTCCCACACGTCTGAGGGTCCTGCGCACGCCTGGGCACATCTGAGCAGCTGAGGGGAAGCATGAACGCCTCGCAGGCGGCCAGAGCTGCCTGGCTGAGCTGCTGTAACCAGTCAGGGGTGCAGCTGGGGCTCCCTGAAGGGCCGCGCCCCGTGCAGGCAGCCGTGCTGGGCGTGCTGTCACTGCTGGTACTCTGCGGGGTCCTCTTCCTGGGAGGCGGCCTCCTCCTGCGCACTCAGGGCCTGAGGGCTCTGTTGGCCCTGGAGCAGCACGCATCCCCAGAGGCTGAGCCTGGCAGCGAAGACTCCTAGGCACCCCAGCCCCTAGGCACCCAGCTGTGCTTGGGGTTGCCTTGTCCAGGCAGCCCTAGAGCTGGCACAGTTGAGCTGGGTGTGTGACTGCGAGGGAGGGAGCTGCCGCGGTGCCGGTGCGGGTCAGAGTGCGCTGAGGGCTGCTGCGGAGCCGGCTCCGGTTCCTCCTCCACTGAGGCCGCCGGTGCACAGGTGAGAGGCAGCGTCTCTGGTTCCGCCTCGGGAAGTCCAGGGTGGGCCTGCAGCTGCCTCACCCCACCCTGAGCTCTTGGATCTGAGGGAAGGGGCTGCCCCCCGTCTCGCCCATCATCTCCTGCAGTGGTGCCCCGCCCGGGTATTATTTCCCTAGAACAGCGGTCACTGTACCTGGGGGGGGCGGGGGCGGTCGGTGGGTGGAAGAGGAGAGTCTGCAAGGGCCACATGGACTTGGGAGACTTTCTTCCCTGCACCCACTTTGCTCCAGCCCAACCCGAGGTGCCCGTTCCACTGGGAGGTGGAGAGACTGGACAGAAACTCAGACCACCTGGGCCTTTGACTTCCCCCTCGCCTCCTAGAAGCGTCCCTGGAGGGGATTTGAGTAAATTGAGTAAGATTCCTCACTGTGACCTCCCTCTTGAGGCAGGGATGACCAGGAGGGTGGGAGGTGTGCAGGGGGAAGGGGCCCCCAGCCCTTGCTCAGTTGGGGTGCACGGCGGTGTCCCAGAGTTAGGAGCTTTGTGGTGTGTTTGTGGGGTGGTGGATGGCAGGTAGCTAACAGCTGGGGGGCCTCAGGAGCACTTTCTCCAGGAAGCTGGGACTGACGCTTCCCAGCTGTGTGGGCCCCATCTGGCTCTCTGCCTCGGTGTCTCCAAGGACTGGAACCATCTGGAGGGAAGGGCCTGGGTGGCCTAAAGACACGGTAATTCCAGGCCAAGGCACCGGGGGCAGAGCCACAGGGGCTGGGCAGAGAAGCCTTCACTGTCCCTCTCCTCTGTCAGCCTTGCACCCAGGGGCTGCTGGCAGGTGTCTGTGGGGCCCCTTGGGGGGCTCTACCTCTCGCTGCTCCACAGGAGAGCCCCTCCCCTGCTTGCAGAGGCAGGTCCCAGCTTCCCTCTGAGGAGTGCCATGTGGGCAGGGACTGGCGAGGGGCAAGGGGCAGTGTGGGCAGGGTGCTGCTACTAGTAAGCAGCTGTGAAGACGTGTAATCCCCAGAGCAGCCTGGGATTTGGTGCTTATCCTAGCAGCCGAGCCTCTCTGGCCTTGCTGAGCTGTGGGCATCTCACCTCAGGTCCCACCCTCACCCCTTTGGAGAGGGCCCCTGGGGCACCGAGGGGTGCATGTTGGCTCCTGGCACACGGGAAGCAGGCTGGACCGGGACACACCCACCTCCCGGTGCTGTGTCCTGGGGTGGGAGCACCCTCTCTTTACTGTATCCAGGCTCATCCCCCTGGGTGAAGCCCCATCCCTCTGCTGCTTTTCCGTGCTTTCTCCCTGAGCTCCGCTCCCCCAGCTGCGGGGAGGAGTCTCCATGTCCACGGTGAACCCTTCATTTTACAAACGGGGAGGCGCAGAGAGAAGAAGGGATGTGCCCAAGTGACTGACAGACCCTGGGGCTCCTGATTTGGATCTCAGGGATGGCCCATCCTAGTGAGTGGTCCCCCCTTGGGTCACCCCTCCTGCTCTGTCCCCGCCTCCCCCATTTCCTATTACTCGTTGGGATGCTGATGCAAAATATGGCCCCTCCTCCATCCCCAAAGAAACCAGAACCCAACCACTCGCCCCTCCCCCACCCCAGGGTCCTTACTTCCCCAGCGGCCTTCTTAGATACCTTCCGGCTGCCGGGACCACAAGACGCTGCAGCAGCTGCCAGCCAGCCAGCAGCTCCCAGGCTGCTGGGCTCAGCTTCCCCAGTGTGACCCGAGGGTGGGGTGGGCCCAGCGGGTC